GAAATTCTCATTGAACAACTGTTCTTATCAAGTGCTTGATATGCTGCAAACTGCTATTGTTTAAAACCTTCTTATTTTTATCTGGCATGTCCTGTGAAAAAGGAGAGAAAAACATTAGCCCCCTACACAGAAACTAAAAATAAAAAAGCAAGAGAGAAAAAAAATCCCCCCTGTGGATTCACACCAGATAACCACCGCTGAATTTTCCATGCATCATTCGTCTCTCACTGCTTGTGAAACATGAACCGAAGAGTTTTTACAAGAAGCTGATCAGAGAGTGGATGTGACAGCAGAACGCATGAGCCAAAACTGGTTAGCCCTTTGTTTCATTATGAATGGTCGACGTTATTAAGGTCAACAGACAACACGTACAAAATAGAATTTAATGTGCACAATCTTCTAGTGAGTGGTGAAACACAAAGTAACACCACAGTTTGCCACGCAAGTACTACAAAAACTGTTGAAGCGCTGAAGTTAAAATTCATTAAAGTAATGATGACTGGTGTTATTGCCTGAGATTAATTAATTTAGTATCAGATGCTCTGATAGGAGGAGCAGGAACCTTGCAGGCCCCACATGTTAATGATATGATGACAAATACTCTGTTGCCACCTGCTGATGAGTTCTTAAATCCTTTAAATGTAATTCCCCAGTGATTATTAAAGAAAAAAGTTAAAATTATAATATGATGTATTATTATTATTATTATTATTATTATTATTATTGTTGTTGTTGTTGTTGTTGTTGTTATATTTTGCCTAAATGAAAAACTTCTTTTAACTTACATCTTTCTATAATGTATTAATATCATATAAAAATAATTTGTCAGTCTGTCAGTTGTCACTAATTAAAATTAATAAAAAAGACTTTGTGATTGTGATCATCTGCCTCTGTCTCATCCCATTCGTAACATCCTCCTTTGTCACACCAACCTGCTACCTGCTCTCCTTCACAACCAGAGATGGGCAGTAACGCGTTACTTGTGACGCGTTACTCCAATCCGATTACTTTTTTCGAGTAACGAGTAAAGTAAGGGATTACTATTGCAAAAACGGTAATTAGATTACTTTTACTTTCCCGTAGGAACGCTGCGTTACTGCGTTACTAAAACCGTGATTTTCTTGCGAGAATGTCTCACGACAGTGACGTAAGCGAGTGCGACATTAGTGACAACAGCTGTGTGCAGATCAACAATGGATCATATATGGAGTGCAGAGAGAGTATGAGCGTGCAGCGTTTAAAGCGTGGAAGTACTGACCTCACTTTGAGTTTGATTCCATAAAAAGTGACAAAAACATTAGTGTCCGCTGTGCGTGGGAAGAAAACTTCTTTTTACAGCGAAAAAAAACCCTAAACTTCCAACAAGCACCGAGTAGCTACGACGTAATGGGAAACTCACAGAGAAACTCGTGGATTCTTCCGCTGACCGCTGCACACCTGCACCAGGGTAAACCTCCTCCTACTATACAGGTGAAAATAGAGCAACAGGACCGCTGAGTCTTTGACTTTATTTATTTTCTGCTGTGTTTTACTTGCATCTATTTGAAAGACTGAGTGTAAACACAAAAAAATATTTTTATGTGCTGGAATGTGCAGAAAATAGGTTTAAATGTTAAACTAATTTCTTCCAGTCAGAGAAGGTTGCAGATAATTAAATGTTTGCTTGATGCATAAAGTTAAAAGATTAAAACTAATAAAACAAGTTTTAAAAAGAGACTTTTCCATTTGATTACATTTTGTATGATGGATTATACAGAAAAAGTAGAATTGGGCTGAAAGATCTATCACTTTATCACCTCTTCAGGTTGTAAATCGTGTTTTTAAAAAGTAACTAAGTAATTAATTACTTTTGAAAATAAGTAATCAGTAAAGTAACGGGGTTACTTTTTTGGAGAAGTAATCAGTAATTAGTTACCGATTACTTGACGGTAACTTGACCAACACTGTTCACAACATGCACAGTCCCTGCTCTCCACAAGTGAATCAGTTTGCCTCCCTTACTAAGTCTCAAACCAGCAGCGCTCACTGCCAGTCATGTGAACTTTGACCTTTACTTTTGCTGCTATCCATCTGTGGCAATTCCACTCACTCCACCTTGCTTGCACTCGCTTCTTCACTTCTCTTATGGACTGTCCGCTACTTCGTTTTCGCAGGTTTATTGAACCTCTGCTCATCTTTACTTCTGAGAAGCTCTACCTCTCTGATGTACTTTTTTATATCCACTGTGTGGTCACCCTGATGCCATTTAAGGTAAATAGTTGCAAAATGTTCCTCCATCAAATTCATTAATTATGAAATATGCAAATATTTGCATTTGTTCCTATCTATATTTAACACTGCTTCCCAACTTCGGAATTGTGATTATATATGTAACAATGGTTACAGTCCTTATATTAACATGCAACTGCACACATGGACACAGACTCAGAAAAAGCTCAGGATGAGACCAATGTGACAGAAAGTGTAAAGAAAAAGTGCACAACAAACTACACTTTCCAGCAGCCAATAGAATCAAATCCACTCCTCCCATGAGACACTCTCACACATTCATGTTGAGGTTAGTGGGATTTTTTCAAACCTGTAAATTGATGTCAAATAAATGTCAGCCAAGCACCATCTACTCTGAAAAGATAGACATAATCAATGTGAGAAAGCAGTAAACCAAACAGTATGTAACCAATTCAAAAAGTGTAATAAAGAAGCTAAAAAGGTTAAAGAGTGAAAGAAAAGAGCAAAATTAAGTGAACTTGCTTAAACCCCTCTTCCAAAGTTAGTATTCTGTAAAACCCAGGTAGTTTATGTTTACATCTGGAAATAAATATTAGTATGTTCTGTATCTCTGTGTGCTTTGTCTGCATCATTTTTCTGCTGTAAAGATAGCTGGTATTTGAGATACTTTTGTTTTCATTAAGTATTTTGTGTGAGTTCATATAAAGCGATAAAACTGTTTTTTCCTTATAAAGCATTTATTAACCCTCTGATTACTATAATAATTATTTTATCATATTTTGTAGACTTCAAATGCAGCAAAGAATAAGGCAGCGTACAGAATAGTCCAGGAAATTCCATCCAGCTCCAGTGATGATGAGTTCAGTGATAAGTCCAATGATGATGAGTGTGGCTGCCAGAGCAGAACAGAGACATAGGAACTACGGACAGCCTAGGTGTGATGAACACAGAAGTGTTTGGAGATGCAGAGACTAAGATGTCAGTTTGTGTTTTCTTCCAGCATGCTACTAAGGGCTTGGTAATACTGTCCTGCATCGTTATAGAACTGTGTAGACTCAAAAATGTTTCTCTTGTTGGAGATAGTTTGCCATATTCAGGTGTAGGATTCACAGCTAGGACTGTTGATTGGTTTTGTTATTTACGTCTAAACATTGGGGCCTTATGAGTTGAAAGTTCCAAAAAAATTGCTGAGATGTTTTTCAAAGGATACAAGCAAACAAGTGTTTGTATATTTACAATAGAACACAAGTAATTAATTTTTATAATAAATTCACAGTATTTCATGCTAAGTGCTCAGGCGCATGTAGTCCACTGGAGTGGACAAGTTTATAACTTTATAAAAAAAACATATTTTTGGGAAAAAAAGAGTTGAACATTTTTTTTCATGTCCTGAGAAGAATAAAAGCACTTAAGAAAAAAATCTTGACCAAGGCTTTCATAATTCATGCATCAGAGGGTTAATGTTGATAGATCAGGGGTTGTGTCGTCTTTTTTAAAAGATGACACAACCCCTGATCTATCTCATTAACTAACAATTAGTAACTGGATGAAATAACCCTAATTTACCCTATGAAATAAGTATTAATAAAACCTCTGTTAACACACTCACAAGCAATGAGGTTATATCTTAATTATATAGATAAATGTGCTTATAAATACATCACTTATTTAAACTTTATAAATGATACCATGAACCCATTATATATGGGGTTGTTAAACAAAAATAAACATTTATATCTGTAGTTATAAATTATATAGTAAAGATGAGTAACGCTGTATAAATGATTAATTAAAAAATCAAACACGTCAGTCATTTCCTCCACAGAACCATTTCTCACTGATATTTTCTCTTTTGGACTGTTGTTGTCAGTTGGTGCTACATAAATAACAATAATTTGGATGAATTGAATTTTAGCCTGTATGCATATTTTGCCACCTCAGTATTAACCTTGTAAATTCTGGAGTCAATGGGGTTAAAAAAATTATAAAAAATATTGAATTGCATGTCAGTCTTAATGGAAAATTTGCACAGAGCCTGATTAAGAAAAACTGTCTTTGACAATAGAAAACTTAATTTCATCTCTACTGACCCCAGAACATACTGATGTTCTAGGGTCTGTTGTTAAAGAGGTCTGGTATCCTAGTGCAAAGCGAGGTGCTGAGGCCCAGGTTGCTCTGCTTTGAAACCACTCTGTGTATTAAGGGGAGAGCATCCTCACATGGGTGCTGCTGTTGTCCAGGCATGTGATGGTTGAGATCTTGCACTTGGCATGATTCTGGCTTTACCTATAGCTCCACCATAGGAATAATTTATATGATATTAACAAAATATCTGCTGCTGCTTTTCGTGTAATTTCGTCCACTAAAGCTAAACCATATAGTATTTGTTCATCCTGCTCTTCAGATCTTATGACGAACAACATGTTATTGCCCCGCACCAATGAAAAAACACAGATAGTAAACTTCCTCTGTAGTGCAGAGTTTGATGTATTTGAGGTATTTCTTGCAGCATTTATTACAACCCGGAGTAGAATTGCCATTTGCTTTTCCTGTGCTTAACATCTGACAACATGACCTACTATCAGACAGACGTCTGAAACACTGCAGAAGAAGATGAAAAAGAGGCAAAAAATGTTAAGATCAGTGTGACAGGAAGTGTACTTTTAAGTCTGTTCTGTGTTAACCAATCAGATGCTTCAACCAATCAGATGCTCTAACAAACAAGCACATGTCACCTCTTAAACCTACTGAAATGCCTCAACAAGGACCAGTGTCAACATGGTCATATTATGGATGGTATTGGTTTTTCTCCATGACGGCTGTGAGGGCTTTTTTATTTCTTACTCTGATCACATGTTTGAAATATAATTATTTATGTTGATTTGTGTGTGTGTGTGTGTGTGTGTGTGTGTAATAACACACATTGGAATATGTTGGAATATTTTCGTCTCATGATTCTTCTTTCTATGTTTTGTTTTCACTCAGATTCTCTGGTTCCAGTGAAAACCGCTCATCTTGGTGAAGCAGCAGCTTTAACATGTGCTAGAACTACTAAAGAGATCAGCAGTAGAGTCCAGTGGTACAAGCAGAGTGTCGGAGATGCTCTTAAATTAGTTGTTACATTTTATGGAACTACACAACCTGTTTATACTCCAGAGTTTCCTGAATCAAGATTTGAGGCTAGAATTGATAAACATTTTGGCAACCTGACGATTGTGAAGACGGTCCAAGAAGATGAGGGCTACTATCACTGTGAGCAAGGCAGTTGTGTTAGTGGTGAATGGAGCGGGATGTATTTGTTAGTAAAAGGTATTCAACTGTTCTACTTTTACAAACATTTTAAAAATTTCTGAGCATGTTTTGAAGAATGTCTTTGTGTTTTGTATTACACAGGAAACACTCAGAGGTCATCAAACTATATCGTTGTCCAAAAGCAGATGGAATCAAATCCAGTCTATTCAGGAGACACAGCGACTCTCGAGTGTTCAGTCTTCTCCGATTCTGAGAACAAGACGTGTCCAGGAGATCATAATGTTTTCTGGTTCAGAGCGGGATCTCATCCAAACATCATCTACACTGACGGGAAAAGACATAATGAATATGAGAACAGATCTAACCCTCAGAAAAGATGTGTTTATCGCTTCTCTAAGAGCGTCAGCTCCTCTGATGCTGGGACTTACTACTGCGCTGTGGCCGCATGTGGGGAAATAATATCTGGAAATGGAACTACACTTAATATTCAAGGTACCTGTGCCTGATTTTGTCTCCCGTACTGGAAGTTATACTCAAAACATGTTTTTAAGAACTGATTTTTTTTTTGTTTGTTTTGTAGAGCAAACAACACAACCAGTATTTATTCAAATGACAATATTAATAGCCTGTTTGGCTGTTTCTGTTATTGGAAACGTTTTCTTCATCTGCAACCGAAGGATATGTAAAAAATGTAAAGGTAAGCGTTATCAGTGGTTCAACATTCATGCATTTTAAAAACATAAAACCAATTCAACTTTAAAATCATAAGGAAAAATTATTGAACCGACGGATGACAATTTTTTATGGATTATGCTCCAGAGTGGGTATCATATCTTTGTGAAACTTCAGTAACTGCAGTAAATTGAGAAGGCAATGTCTCATTAAGTGTATTTCACTATCATATATTTATCACGATAATATTTTTTTATGTCAAGGAATAGGAAATGCTGTATCGAAAGTACAAACTGACAACTTGCACCAACCAGTAAGTAATGAAAATGATGCTATAATTTAGTTTAAATATGTCCAAAGATTTTTGTATCTTCATCTAAACTACTTTTTTATTTGCTTTTTGTTACTACGCAGACTGAAGCTAATGATGAAATAAACTATGCTGCACTGAATTTTTCTGCTAGAGAAACAAGAGCGAGAAGGGCAGAGTTTGCTGAGAACCGTGTGCTCTCTATGTTGAGTTGAATGCTAAAGGAAATGTTGAGCATGTCCTGAATTTTAAAATAAACCTCACATTGTGTTACAGATCCCATGCCTGTGACTGCTTTCTGTTTTGTTTTTTTATAAATTAATATAATTAGTAATATGATCACGTGTTTATGTCTATTATATGTATTGTTAAACTTAAATGTAAAAGTATAGGTTCAGGAAACATGAGCTTTGTTTTACTCTAAAGCAGGGGTCTCAAACTCGCGGCCCACGTGCCATTTGCGGCCCACGTCACCTCTACTTGCAGCCCACATATTGATGTAAAGAAATTATTATTTTTTTAATTATTATACGAAAAATGATTTAATATGACGGCAGGGTGTAACAGGCCCTTTAAGTGGCCACTTTAAAGTGGCCCTCCAATGAGATGACAGAAGTGGAGCACGGCTCATTTGAGTTTGAGACCCCTCCTCTAAAGCATAATTTCTGTGAAGTTGAAATAAGGAATAAAAACAATAAACTGTGACTTGACTTTGTCAAATACATGAATCATGAACACATGAGGTACATATAACATAGTTTTAATGACAGCAGATTATTTATTGGTATTTATCCATTTGAGTGGTTAATCAATATTGCATGCATATAATATTAACACAGTAAATATGTAATATATATATATATATATATATATATATCTTCTTCAAAGGGGAAAGATTTACTAGTAGTCTCTTATTCCAGAGTACATGCCGTGCCATCCGGTAGCTCCTGTTATTCTTTCATCTTTTAGCTGTTCTTGAGGGAAAGTCAAGTGCCGCATAGTTTACTCCCACTTCTTCACCCTCCTGCAAATTAGTAAGAGCAAACTGTAATTGAACAATCAATTTCAAGCCTGGTTACGATTTACATTATACGGTTAAAAACACACAGAACATAGTCACAGTTAACTGCAAATACCTCACAAACTCTGCTTCCTATAAGAATAACGATATAAATTAATAACCATAACCAAAGTACTTTTTTAGTGTTAAATTTTAAAAAATGGAAAATGAAAAAAAACAAAGAGTAGGGGAGACCGGGGATAGTTGTAACATTTTTGACATTTCTGTCTGTAAATTGAAGCTCTTTTAAGGTAGTGGATTCAAAATGTAATGCAAAGTATTTACATGTCTCTGCCATTAAATAGTGCAGCTATTTTCTCTGCAGCACAATTACCCA